AAAAGATCTTCTTCATAGGAGTTGTGATATTTCTTTTGTGTTCTAACTTTATAAGCAGTCATTGGTGCGGAAAAGTGAGTGGAAAAGAGGAGGAATAAATTAGGGTTTTGGAATTTAGCGGCATTCCTTAAGATGCAAGGCATTTAATGCACAATAACTTTTTAGAACGGTACAACGACAAACTAGAAATGTTGTGCAACGTAAACATTCAACTAACCACGTCTCCGAGGTGGTGATTGGTCGGAGTCAGAGCCATTTCTTTTTCGATTAGAACTCTCTAAAAAGTCCATAGTGACAAAAAGCCATCTATATGGTCACAAAGAGAGGAGCTCACACTACAGAAAACCAAAAATAAAAATCATATCTGAAGAAAGGGACAAACTGTTTACACCCCTAGGTAAGACACTGCTGCAACTCCAGCAAATCGTGCAGGAGCACAGGGCGGAAAGTTTTCGCGAGAGCAAATCACAAACGAGATTCTCAACAGGTGGTCTGAAAACGGGAAGCTTTTTAATGGCACCGAGCAAAGCAGATGGAATACATCGAGCAGATTACCGACATTTCAAGCTCCGATGTTCCCATCATTGTACGTGAGCTTCCTCTACAGGAGACCTAACGATAACAAAACTAGCTGCATGCAAAATGAGTTGTTTTAGTAGTAGGGTCAACCTATCCCAGAGTCCCCTTCCCTTGAAAAAAAATGTTCGCGCTAAAAAATCCGGGAGAGAGACACCACGCGGCGGTGCGACTGAGGCTGCTAGTCTACACCCCTTTACCGTGACAATGATCTTTCCTTTAGAATCAGGTTTAGCTGGTATAGGGAAAACCCCAACTTAATCCTTTCAGATGCGTCGATTTTCTGTTTTTTCTCTGCCCTCTCGGCGTCCTATGGTCAACTCAGCCCAGAGAACCCTTCACTTGAATACCCCGTCCCCTTTCTCGAAACATGGTCAACAGGACCACGCACAAAAGCTCAAGTTCACGCAACCGCTTCTGCTCTAAAACAAGGCAAACTACCAGAGTAATCACCGCCTATTCTCGCAGCGCGACACCTCACCTACGTTAGTGCCCGAAATCTAACATACAGCACGAATGAGACCCCTGTTGTCAAATGTGGCAGGAGGTCTGCCAATTGCTGTGTCCTAATAGCAAGTGATAAGAAAAGAGTGATCTAATATAAGTGCAGGAAAAGAGTGAAGATCATAGCACGAGATGAAAAACAACTAGAGCTGAAGGAGAAGTGTTTTAAAGAAAACGATGAGATTAGTGAACTTACCACGTTTGCGAGGCGGTGACTGGTCGGAATCAGAGTCATTCCGTTTCCGAGCACGTTTCTCTGAAAGATGCGAAGCTCACGCGAGGAATTTTGTAGGGGACTTACAAGTTACAGAAGTTTTGTGGAAGTAAGGGTCATTATAATTTACATTCAAACCGAAGCGTTGACTTTCAATGTGAAAACTTACCCCTTCTTGGCGGCGACTGATCGGAGTCAACTTCAACTTTGACCGAAACGTTCTTAGCAGAAGTCTCTGGAAGAAGAGCTGCATTTCCAAGAATCAGTTTTGTTGGTTTCATCAATTAGGTGAATCTCATAGGTAGATTTTCTGCCGAGATTACTCAACAGATTCTGTATGGTCAGCGCGGGTTGAGCGCTGAGGA